CTTTGTTATGGATTAAGACACTTGGTGAACCCCAGCCTCATTCTTTGACCGTGGATGATTATTTAGTCTTATGTCAATTTCTCTTACCTCCCATGTCTGAGGATTCGGGCAAGAGTTGAACCTTGATTGCTTTGACTGCTTTTGCTTGTCTGTTTGCTTTGCTTTTTTAACACTTGTTTTCATCTTCTTTTGTTTAATATAAAACCAGTGCCCTTGAAGTTGGTTGGCTTTGTGATATGTTATCCACAGTAAAGGAAAGAGCATGGCCATTGGAGGCAAACAGACAAGGAGAGGCCTGGAGGGCATCTAGCTTACTGTTAGGATGACCATAACATGTCCCTCAACCACTTTCGGCTTCCATTCCTTTATTTGCAAAATGGGCACAATCAAACCAACTTCACAAGAGCTTTGTGAGTTTCAAATTTCTTGCTTTGAGAAACTGGCCTATTTTCCCTTCAGGCATGTTTCTCCAAGAGCAACATAGTATCAAAACCCAAAAATGGACTGCCTTCATCAAAAGAGGTAATAAATTTTAAGGATATTATTTTCACTTGGATCTAATCCTAGTGCCCGTAAGAGGGTTTTTCCTTATGTAATCTGTCAAATGCAAAACTGAAGAGGTTATAGGTATAAAGTTCTCTCTTCCCCCTCCCCCTCTTCCTTTCCTTCTCCCTCCTTCTCTCATTTCTTGAACTAACATCTGCCTTCCCTATTATCCAGTCTCCGTCACAGACAACACGGGATAGATAAAAGGATGCGATGTGCAAAAGTGAGTTGGCCAGTGGGATTGTTATGGCTAACCACTCTGTTTTCTCTTCCTTCTCTAGATTGGAATAGAACATATTTTTCTTTGTCTCATCCCCCAACCACTGCTATTTCTGTAGAAAGGCGATTTTTTTTGTGAAGGGTACATGCCCACTAGAATAATGTTCTTTGGTTAGGGTTACAGGTAGCAAGGGCAGCCTAAGGTCCTTTCTTTTTATTTGGTTTTGTTTTTGTGTATGTGGCATATTTCTTAGTGCATCAGAAGTGACACTGGATAGAGTACGAGATGCTGAGAGGTTCAGATATCAGGGTTTCCTGAAGCACACATAGCACATCCTGGAATGGCCCAGTTGGCCCAGGTGAATTCCTAGAGCCAAAACTCAATGAGTAGAGGTTAAAAATACAGCCACTTATTTCACTCAAGAGTTAGAGAAGATGTTTGGTTTGATCTTTCCATGGGGACAATGGGAACATCAGTTGGCAGAAAACAGCACGGTTGTGTTGCCGTCTTTTGCTGATGTTTTTTCTTATCTCAAAAGACAGTCCCATTAGCTGGCTCATTAAGAATATTCCTTCGTGGCTTTCCAAACCAATTTTATCAAATGCTTGCATCCAAAAAATAGAATAGCAGCGATAAGGTGTTTCTCAGACTTGCTGAAACATCAGCTGCTCTGATAAATATTTACTGAGCACCTAGCTTATGGAACACATTAAGAGGCTGGATGTTACGCAGATGCATACCTGAGGGAGATACAGCCCTATTTCTCAGGGGGTGAGTAGGCCTACAGGAAGTGAGCAGGAAGGATCAATAAAACATGTACAAAAATAATTGGAACCAAGGAGGAATAATACAAGTGCCATGGGGCCCACCTGGTGGTAAGGTCCTATTGGGTTCATGCTTAGCATTAAATAGCTTGTAGAGATGTCTGTATTTGATAAGGAAAAAGAGAATTGTGTAGGATTTTACCCAACTGGGAGCATGAAATTATACTGATAAAACAAAGCATGGTATACGAGAAATCCTGTCCCTACAACCAATCCTTATCAAGTTGGCTCCCCTGCAACCCAACCTAGGTTTCCAGATGGGGGCGCTGATGACATTGGAAGATAGATTGTGTACTATTTAATAGAAAGGGCTTTAGACTCAGATGGACCTAACTCTGAATCCCAACACTGCCGAATACCAATATTTGACCTCAAGCAAATTCTTTGTCCCATTTTTCAGTTTTCCTACATGCAAATTGATGGGAACATTACTCCATAGGATTGCTTTGTGCACTGAGGCAATATGTGTAAAATATCCAGTTTAGTGACTGGCACATAAGACGAGCACAATGGTAGTGCTGGGAAAGCTATATAACAGATTTGAAGTAAATCTATGCCTTTGTAAACAAGCCAATGTAAGATTGATCCAGCTTTTATAACTTTCTAGCTTTATTAAATCTTTAAAAATTGGTTAATTTCTCTCAATCTTGGTTCCATCAGTACTTTGTAGTTGTGTGAAGCTTAAATAAGATCATATATATGCAGTCATTCCTTGGTTTCCACAGGGGGCTGGAGGATTGGTTCTAGGACCCCCATGTATAACGAAATCCACAGACACTCAAGCCCCTTATATAATACGGTATTGTTTTCACATAACCTATGCACATCCTCCTGTATACTTTAAACCATCTCCAGATTATTTACAGTACCGAATATAACATAAATGCTATGTAAATAGTTGTTATACTGTATTGTTCAGGGAACAATGACAAAATAAGTCTGTACGTATTCAGTACCGACACAACCATCAAACCATCGTAGGCTTAACTACACAGTACATGTCTGCAACAATGTAGCTGTTTTTCAGACATTTTTGATCCGCGGTTGGTTGAATCTGTGGATGAGAAACCAATGAAGATGGAGAACTGACTGTAAAATATTTAACATTGTGACTAGAATATGCAACGGGTTCAATAAGTTTATCACTGTAATTGCTATTTAATAAAGGTTTTAGGCAAAGATAGGAAAAAGTAGAGACATAATTTTATTTTCTTAGGATTTTATAAAAAGTGGGTAAAATTGCCAATGGTTGCTGACAGTGAACAGCCTCTGGTTCCTTCCCAAGGTTCTGCTTTTCACTCTGCCCTGGCCATGCTGGCCGCCCTGCTTGCACCTTTGGGGCCTTCTGCTCCCTCCATCCTGAATTCCCTTCTTCTAGGTCTGTTGTCACTGGCTCCTCTCATCTCTCAGATTTCAAGCAGGATGTCTCTTCCTTCCAACCGCCAAAAAAGTGCCTCTGCCCTTGTTCTGCTCCTTTCCACTCCAGCACTTACTGCTCTTGGCAACTGATTTACGGCTGACCTATTTCAGTATCATCTGCCTCTTCTCACTGGAATATGGCCTACATGGCGACAAAGACCTTGTCTGAGTTGTTCCCTTTAGAACCCTTCCGGAAACATAGTAGGTACTCCGTAAATAGAGGACAGAGTGAATGGATGACTTTAACACACTAGAGGAGATCATTTCGGCTAGCACATTATTCAAAGATTGTTGTTCTTTCCTTGGCAGAAGCCAGGATGCTATTAAAAACAACAACAAAACAAAAACAAACAAAAAAAACCCTCTCCTATCCCTGCAGTATATAGCAGGGAGATAGTTCAAGCAGAAGTATTGTGCAGAGCACGTACCAAAAGAGAGTTATTCTCTTTCAACTCAAACATCCCCAGACACAAATAGTACATCTATACAGGGACAGATTAGCAACCACAATAGCAAGAGATAGAAACACTGAGAAGTTTGAACATAAGGTTTGAACTTGAACACTGAGCAATAATCCCAAGCGGAGAGATGGAGTCTCTTTAGCCTTTCTCGTCTAAATTCTTTATTTATGGAAGGAATGTTTTCCTGCAAAATGGCCTGGGGCTTAGAAGGGAATAGTGGATGGCACATAAAATAAGGAGGTAAAAGAACGGGAAACCCAACACAGCCAGAACTCTGAAAATTCCCTCAGTCCTACCTGGCTAAGATGCTTACCAGTACCTCGTGAAGTGAAATGAATTGATATCAGCAACACTCTCGGTTATGTGTTATTTGGTATGCAAATGTCCATCAAACCTCAATATCACACTCTCAATTAATGGAAGTTCCACGTAGAAGAAACTCCTTATTTTTAACTTGAACCAGGCAGACCAAAATGACAACGGTCAAGCCCCCGCCCTGCAAACCCAGAGTGGGCCAAGCTAGCAAGCAGTGCCCCTTGGAGAAATGTTTTGTGAGCTGGGCTCATTCTGCTCTGTGTGAGGCACACATTATCAAGCCTTACAGCTATCTTTCCACTGCTGGAACTCTCAAAAGTGAGCAGCCTCAAAGTTGTTCTTATGCTGAAAGGGGGAAAAAAAGTGCAAGAATGTTTTTCTTCATGGTTTTTGCAGCACATGCTCTTCTCACAAAAACCAGCCGCATTCACTTTGGACCGCAATGGCGCCATTTGTCAAATTACTATTCCAGCGAGTTAAATCACGCCCCCATGGACAGAAAAGTTAATGTTTTTCAAAAGAGCCCCATTTCCACCCAGGAAGGAGCTTATTTGCATTGCAGGAGCTGACTCTGTGTTATTATGTTTGCACAGCAGCGAGGTTCAGAGGTTAACCACATGGCACGTTAACAACAATTTCTTTTCATCCTTTTAAAGTTATTTTCATTTCATTAGCTACCCCCCTGCTTTTTAATTATTCTCTGTTTAGGTTTTGTTGCTGCCATCATCAAATTTCTATCAGGGGAAAGAGTTGCTACCTTTAAGCCAGTGGGTACACACTACACACACACCACACCACACACACACACACCACACACACACACACACACACCACACACACACATACTTCTCTAAACCATGCCTTTGACCAAAGCTCAGCTGGATCTTGTCAGGCTCTTTATGTTTTTTCTTCCTTGTTTAGGCCTTGGGACATCACCTTTCTCCAGTCCTTGCACACTTTGCCACCCTGCCTACCTCCTACTAGCAGTTTCCGTTCAACGACTATCTCCCTCCTGGAGTCTGAGACTTCACAATCCCCATGTAGGCTTGTGCCTTTAATTAAATTCTAGTCCCCTACTACCCCTGCCAAGATTCATAGATGCCCTGAAAGGTTCAACATTAATTAACCAGAGCTCTACAAACTCTCCAAGCTGGAATATTAGAAGATGAGGGCTGGTAAAAATGTGACATATTAGGATTTCTAACAGTTGTGTGATGGTACTCTTGAGGGAGGTGGTTCAGAGCCAGCAGAAAGTCGGTCAGATATAAGGGAAGATAAGTGTCGTAAATGACTGTAACAACCCAGCACAATGGTATGTTTATTTTAACAATTCAAGTTATTTCTTTTTCCTTTCATTGGGATATTAAATATAATCCCCCTTTCTCCCCGGCTTTCTCCTTCCCTCTCCTTTCCTCTCTCTTTCTTTAACAAAGAGGAAGAAATCAGAACGATGCTAAGATAAATAAACCCCCCAATACAGTCTGATCACTCTTTAAACTTATCTCAGGATGTTTCTGTGAGAGTAATATAGTAATTAGCCATCACCTTTAAATGCTCTGGATTTCTATAATTTTTCATACATTCCAAAGAGGAAACTGTATTGATACATCAGAGAACAACTTCCCAAAGGAAAGAAGGAAAAACAAAAATGGATCTAATGTGAACAACCATTGAATCTCTAAGACAGTGGAAAACTAGTTATCAAGATCAAAGTGTTATCTGATGGGTGAATTCCTGCAATACGTCTGAAAGTGTTTGCCGTCCCTTTTTCTTTAGTACCTCTAGTGGTGAGGAACTCATTCTTTTAGAGAGATCTTTCAGTATCTAAATATATCCTGGAAATGGTACAACTTCCATCTATTAAAGTTTTTTGAGGTCTCATAGGATGTGTATAATGACTTTTTTCTGGGGATGTCTACCTTCTTCAGGTTAATATTCCAGACTTCTGACTTAATGCGTGCTCATGGGTCCGATCAAAGGGACCTGCTCTATCTGCTAACTGCTAGCGTTCTCTGAGCAGAAGGCTGGGCTATGCCATCATTACTGAGCTTCTCAAAGGGCTGTGGTACATAATTCTCATCCTCCCTTCCAGCACCTGTCCTCAGCTGGACAAGTGAGGCCTATCCTCCAAAGGCCCTGCCTCCAGTCTTAGCTCTTCCTCTCCAAACCCCTGTAAAACCTAACCTGAAGAATCTGCAAATTGGTTGAATACGGGCATCATCTAGAGACATACATATTTAAAGACTCACATGATTGATATATTAGAAAAGGAGTGGCTACTTCCAAAAATATCACAGGAATTGGATGAGGACAAACAGCTTTCAGTTTGTACCTAGCAAAAGCTCTCAGTGTCAGGCTTTCGGAGCCAAAAATCTCTGTGTCCTACAGAAGTGGTTTTTAAAAAGAGAGAGAGAGTCACGGAAATTCAGTCCACAATTCTTGATTGATTATATAAGAATAAGACATTATTTCTGATTTTTCCCAAAGGTGAGACCTTTGACTACTCTTTAAAACCTCTAAATGATCTTTGTATGGGGGGAAGAAACACGCCTTCCTATCTCAAGTATTCGCCTATGAACTTCTCATTATTTTGCATTCCAAGCAAATCTTAGTGCTTTTCATCCCTATTAATAGATCTATCAAAAGGAAACCTACTTTTTTTCCCTTTTAATCTTTGCTTCTAATATAGTAAGAGGGAGGACACCATTTAATTCCTCAGAATTTTCAAATCCTACTGTGGGATTTTAAAGCACCACTATTAAGACTGCACAAATAAAACTGCTTCCTAATTGTCACTCCATACACTAGCCAAAAAAATAGAAGAAACATTCTTGTCAGCTACCATCTCTTGAGCACCTCCTACATGTCAACCTCCTGGAAGCTGTATATATGGAACCTCATTTATTAATAATTCTCCAATGACCTGATGAGTTAGTTACTAGTACTCAAACTTTAAAAATAAAGCAACTGAAGTTCAATGAGGTTAATAACCATGTCTAATGTCACAGAGATAGTAAGTAGTAAAATCAGGGTGTGACCCAGGTCGATCTGCTATTCATCGAAAAAAATGAATGAACTGATACAAGGATGAATGAATAAAGGCTGTGCTGACTAAAATGGCTCCCTTCACCCGGCTCTTGGTGAGCAACTGATAAGTGATAATATTGCTCAGGTGGCATAGTCTGGCGGTCTAAAGGATCTCTTTCCAAAACTGCCATAGCAATTTTGTAACTGTTAGCAAGTCCTGTATTTCTATCGCCACCCAAATGGCCAGAAACTCACCTCCAGAAGTGGCTATGAAAAGTCATGAATTGCCATTTTAAAAACTGAAACACTCATTTCTTACAGGTACATGTTACGGCTTCCAAAGGAGAAGTGCTTTATAACTAACCTGTGTCATTATTTTACCTTCTACATGTGTGTGGGGTTCAGCTGTCAGTCTTCTTATTTCTTCTCCAGGCTATCTGATCGGAAAGCTACCTGTGAAATACAGGCGGCCTGATAATTGGCTAATCCAACCTATTCGTCTTACCTGTCTTCCTACCACTTTGCATCATTTCCTTTCCTTTTCTTTCCTTATTTATTAAAAGTATAAAATAACAATCCTTAAATATGATTGGCCTAGGAATGTTACCCTATTTCAATCACCTGGAACCCTTGGAAGGAAGGGATATTATCAGAGCTAAAGGTGCTGAGAAAGCTTGGCGGTGTACACACCCCAGGGGAGTGATTAGCTCATGAAGAGGCATCGCGGCACAGAGAAATAAATCTGGATGAGGGATAACTTCTGCCACAAATAAGCAATGGATCAATAAGAGCAAATGTCATATTTCAATTCTGTTCAACACTGCAACATTTGCAACCTGCTAACCTGCAGCATAACAGCATTTCTGAGCTAAAGATGTGAGAAAATGTGGGCTTGTGAGAGGTTTGCCATATTCCTGCTGCTTTTCTTTTAATAAAGGAAGAAAACTAAAACAACCATGAGCAGGAGAAAACTGAGCATGTGGGCTATTTCAGAGGTGCAAAAGTGGGAAAAGGACTATTGAGACATGAACTAATAAGTGAAGGAATAGGCCTGAGGTCCATGGCAGCCCTGACACACTCTACCAGAGGGGCTCAGGCCCAGGCTGTCTCACCGATCTAGCTTAGACAGTTATAGGACCATCTTAAATACTACTCGCTAAAGGAAACAGTCTATCTGGAAATTGTTTCTTTGACAAATTGTAGACTTGAAATGATTACTTATTCGCTCATACATTTATTCATTCACTATCCATTCAACTTAAATGCAGAGCACTGTGCTACCTTATAGAGGCACAAACATGAAAAGTAGTCTAGTCTTGTCCTCTACAAGTTATAATGTATGGAGACAGGTAAACTAATCAGTAAGGAAAAGAACCAGTTACTTTGTATCTATGTCGGGCTAGTATTATACTTGGTGCTTCACACAAACTTTCTAATTACATCTGACTTCATCTTCACAATAAGCCTATAAGACAAGGGTTATTATCATCTGTACTTTATAGATAAAGAAACTGTGGGTCAAAGAGGTTCATTTAGAAGCCCAAGTCTAAGGAGCTGAAAAGCGGCAAAGCAGGAATTTGAATTCAGGACAGGGTCACTGTAAAGCCTGGGCTGCTGAGCCCTACACCCTAGTGTAACACAGCTGTGCTGCTTACAGATGCTGTGTCTGTAAAGCTGAAAATGCAGCACAGTTTAGAATAAAGGAGCATGTTGAGATTCACCCCGAGGGCACAGGGAATCTAGAGAGGTTTCAGAGAGGAGCTATACAGGATGTGAAGACCTAACTGACTTGAACAGTAGTGTATTCCATATATTTCTACCCCATTTTGAAAATGGAATATGAAATAAAATTCAAAACTGGTATCTACAATGAGTCAGTAGTAAAACTACAAACGGAAACATTTTCTCCTGTCACCCTCTGGTCTTCCTGTGCACTCGTGAAAAAAAAAGTCACATTGATCCTTTGAACATGGAACCGATGTTAGTCTTAGAAGAAACAACGCAGACCACATAATGTTAAAGCTCCGTGTGAGGGAACAATATTGTGAGGGAATGATGTAAGCCTTAGGTACGCTTTTGAATTTTTAATCCTCATCAGTGGCTCAGCCAGGTGAGGAATGCAACATCTGCAATATCACCTGCTTTGCACCCAGTAGGAATGCCACCATTGTGGTGGGTCATGGAGTTAACAAAAGGCAACGCCTTTACCTTTAATAAATAAACAGTGGTCATGATGGGATGTTAGGCATCTACAGGTGAGGTGCAGAGCCCCCTGTCAGAGCCTTCCGAGACTGTGCAGCAAGGACTCATAACAGTGGTGGAAGAAGAATGAAAACTAAAAATAATCAATCAAACTGAAGCACTGTAGTACTTTATGATTTCAGGAGAACCTAATTAAAATCTCAAGGATTTCCTTCATGGTTTCTAGAATACAAAAAATATAGCATTTTAGGTGAAGCAAACTAAGAGTTTCTTGCAATCTCATTGAGGGAGTCAAAAGATGTTAAAAATGGTAGTTAATGGCTAATAGACCAATAGTTCAGAACCACAAATTATGAATGAGACCTGCAGGACAGAATGAGTGGGCATTCCTTTAGAAGCGATCGCTTGCATCTTCCTGGAAAACGTGTAGGGTCACAGCCAGTTATACCATTTTGACTACGGTGGCCATAATAGCAGAATTTACTATTAGGGCCAGAATACCATCCATGCTCGTACTCAAATGTATGTAGTCTTAAAATGGGAAGACATTGTGCCAGCTTGTCCTTTTTTGCTCAAAGTAAATAAACTAAGTTTCCACAGCTGTCATGCCTTAAACTAAGTTGATGCACTGAGTTTAATTAGATTGCAAAAACAGAAAATAAACCAGATAATTGACTAAATATAAATGGAATAAAGCCATTTCCATTCTAAAAATGTGTTCCTGGAAAATGCAAAGTAAGACAAATTGTGGCAAAGTAGAGTAAACATGTGTTTATATGATGCTACGTTCATCTGCTCAGAGCGGCTTTTGCAGCTGTAAAAGGCACTTGCTTTGTGGGGGGATGGTGAGCTGACAGCATTTCTTTGAGAAAGCAAGGAGAGTTTGTCTCAAATGCTTCAGGGACATAAGGAGTAAATAGTATTACCGGCCACAAAATAGAGACTAAGAAAATCGATCCCTAAGTACCACCTGGATTTCTAATATAATAGTATTTGTCAATATCGCTTAACTTAAAATTATTGAATTTTGCTCAAGTCTTTACTATTCCTGTATGAGGCTAGATAATAAAGAATTATGATCCA